CAGCTTCTCAAAACCAAAACAGATGTTGCGGAGACAGTAGTGATAACAGAACCTTATGGAAGTTCAAGCGCAAATGAGGATGAAGCAGCTACAAAGCCAGATGAAGAGATTCCGCCCACAACACAGGAATACATAGGCAATATTTTGGTCAACGATCTGGCGCTGTCGGACAGCGACAGTGATGATGACTGAGTTAATAGTTAGGTTTTGAGTATTTAAGTTTAATTATAAGTAAATAATATGTAGTAATATGTCAATGTTTAGTGTAATAGTGTGATATTACGATATGAGAGTTAGTTTCTTTTAGTTAAATAAACAAAATCGTTAAATTGTAATTCGAGTTCAGGGATTTAGTAAATAAATAAGACGATTAGCCTACTTGCCAAAGAAAACGAGTATATCTTTTATAACCATATATTCGTGCATTTATCTTTGACTGGTCTTTGGTTGTTCACATATCAGTAATAAGATATACATAGTTCTTTATTTAATACTTGATCCATGGAGAGGTACTTTCTTAACAACCTTTTTCTGACAAATCACGCGTGAGTCGTGTCAAGCTGTCATCTTATTTTTGTTCAGTTTTGCTTGGCATTTCATTGTGGAGAACTTGAACAAATCGTTCAATTTTATTACGAAAATTCACTTTGTGTAAAGAAGGTGTTTCGCAAGCTTCGCTCAACTTATAGTCAACATAATCGGCCTACTGAACATACTATTCTCAACTTGAGACCCAGCATTCATTATTTAATAATATTCGACCACGTCCAGCATTCGGTGAAGAAAATATAGCAGCCGTAGCTGAGAGTATACCCGAGGACCGTGGAGAGTCGATTCGGGCCGTTCGCAGCAACTCGGGTTGACGTTTGGACCTCCCAAAGCTACATCGCTTTGCTCCATGGACTCTGGAAATATTCCAAGAAGATCCCACATTTTCGAAACAGAATGTGTTCAGTGATGAAACCCATTTCTGTCGAAATATGTCGCATCAATCAAGGAATTAATAGACAGAGCACTTCGGTAAGCAGAAAATTTAATGCTTTAAATGAGGCTTTCAGTCGATCCAACGGATGGACTCTCTGAGGCGTAGCCGCTGCCAACATTTGAAAGAGATAATCAGTTAAAACTAAACGCCAAAGAATGTTCTGGACTGAAAAACAGACATCCAGATTACAAGTAGTCTCGTCGTCAACATATGTATACATACATATATTTTATAATTTTGTATCTATCTCGACTAGGTCAGCGGATATGTAGCATCATAATGCTTGGCAACCCTACAACTCGTGAACGTATTGTGGCCACATTTCTCTTTCTTAACAGCGAAGGTCAGCTCCATCGTGAGGAACGTGTCCGCTATTTACATGCTAAATTGGCGCATATTAAGCGACTTATAACGCTATTCGATAGCAAACGTACAAAGGAGATAGCAATGGCTTACGCGACCGCAATGGCTAAGAAATATGAGTTGAGATATGAGCGTCTTAAAGGCATAAGCGATAACGAAAAGGTGTTGGGAACAACGAAACCGATCACAATATGGCACAAAGGTGGAGCGGCAGCTACAATACACGAAGAGATACCACTTGCAAAACAGAAATACATAAGCGATTTTCTGGGTAAAGATCTTGCGCTGTCGGATATAAGCAGCGACGATGACTGATGTCTATTTATGAGATTAATATTTTATGTTTAAGTTTGAATGTAAATAGATAAATTAAAATAATAATTTATAATTAGTTAAAAGAATCTGTTATTTTCTAAATAATAAACCTATATGAGTTAGGATCTTTAGTTTAGGAAACAAAACAAACCACAGTGGTGTTTAATGTGAAATCAGGGATGGGATATGAATGAACAGGAAAAATTAATTTAGTTAATAAACTCGAGTAAATACCCAAACTTAAAATTCAAAATAAACTGATCAAGAAATCTTTCGTATGAGTTGCAGTTGCTGCTTCTTCCTACAAATATATGCTACATTTATACATATATTTATAGTTCAATTGAGGAAAGAACTACAATTAGTAGGACATGACAGTGTTGAATTGGCTGTAACTCACATGCAGCGCTTTCATAAATGTTAACACGTTTTGTATTCGAAGGACACAAATTCACTGGGACAGAAAAATCAACATACAAGACAAAGAAAACTCTCAATCAACAATTCCAAAAAATGGAACAAAAGCGAGAGGRAGAATATAAATTAGTACTCACACCTATCCTATTTTAAATTCTGAATAATAAAAATAAGCGCACGTTTYGTTTGGACTACTTTACTTTTAAACGCGACTTTCTCGAAACAACATTTTTCAAAACCGCTACAGCGTTTACTACCAGTCATATGATACGATTATTCTAAAAAATTTTTTTTCACAAAAAAATGGAATTGACTGTGTTTTTCGTGTTCTGTTAGCTCTGTTATCCAGTAATTTTTTGATTTTTCACCGTATTTTATTGTTTGGAAAATGTCTTATAGCGAGAAATTTATTTCAGGTTTACTCCACGGAGAAGAACGGAAACACTGCAGTAGTGGACACTATTTAGCGCGATTAAAAATCGAATATTGGCGGACCAAAACGACCAAGATTTTGGATAAATTCGACTTTTCTTACGCAGTCATTTTGTCAATTTTTGATTTTTTCCCGTGTTGTCATTGAACGGAAAAATTTCGTTAAAGAAATTTGTATATTTTTTAGGCTTTACCTACGGAGAAAACCGAAATGAATTTTTTTTTTAGCTTCAAAAGCTTCATTTGCTCTCTTTCAAATTTTAAAACAATGGATACAGTCGTTTTTTATTCGAAAAATCGTCTTTATTCGGCTGTCGCACTTGGTGCGCTCAGTCAATTAATGTAATGAAGTGCCACCTAGCCCACCCTGACAAGTATGTACCTGCACATGTGAACTCATTCAGCCGTTTGTAGCATCAATTAACATCGAACACTTTTCATGGGTGGCTCAACTGACCCACAAAACGCACGCGATGAGCCAAAAATTTWGTTCTGTGCAAACTTACACATGTAATGTAAACACATAATACGAGTAAATGCAAAAAATTGTCGAGCTGATATTTACATAATGCTTTGCGCCATAAATCTACTTAAAACTAATTAATGGCGAAAGGAAAACTTTTACGCTGTTCAATCGTCATTTGKTATGCAGGTGTGCGCATGTTTGTGTGTGTACAAGTTCTTTATTATTTTATTATATGTATGTATGCGCTTTGTATGTTTRCAGTTTTTCCCGTTAGTTTAACATAACCTAAAGCTGTTTCAACCGCAGCTGGTGCATCAATTTACGACTCCGAGCGCCATTTATTTAACACACATACACATACATACATAGAAAACACTTAAGCACATGCTTACACCACGCCATATGCAACTACATACATGATTGTATGTGTGTGTAAAGGCATGGGTAAGAAATGTCAGTGTGTGTCTGTGTGCGTGCGCTTGTAAAAACAACAAAAACTTAAAACGAAAATACTAGTCTCGTACATACTTTTCACTAATAACTCGTAATCTATTTCTGGCTGGTAAGCAAGCAAATGCCTGGCAGCCATGCGACGGCAAAACGGAACCCCACACACGCACACACACACTCATATGCTGCACGCACACTTTCATACATTGCGCTAAGATAGGATTGCTCGTAGTGCTTAAGTCACAGTTGGCGCATGTCGGCAAATAAGAGATGCGCCCTGGTTCATTTGGGTTATTGCCATGGGTTGAGTGAAAAATCTATTCCATCACTGTTTTTTGCTTGGTTGACATGTGAACATTAATTACAGACAAGTAATGCAAATATTTTTTGAAAGAAATTACRTACAAGTTTTGTACATACAGTCTCTGCTGTTTCGGTTGTTTACAAGCACATTTCATATGTACGAGGTGTGTTCAAAAAGTATCGCGAATTTTGTATTTTTTTTTCAAAAATTATTTATTTATTCATGAATATCTATTTTGTCCCCTTCAAAGTAATCCCCATGAGATATTATGCATTTGTGCCGACGGTTTTTCCAATCTTCGAAGCACTTCAAAAAATATTTTTTTTTATCTTCCTTAGCTCCTGCTTCGATGCTGTCTTTATCTCGYCAAGAGAAGCGTAACGTCGTCCTTTCATGGACGACTTCAGTTTAGGGAACAAGAAAAAGTCACAGGGGGCCAGATCTGGGGAATACGGTGGCTGCGGCATCATTAGTGTGTTGTTTTTGGCCAAAAAGTCGCGCACAAGCAACGATGTGTGAGCAGGGGCGTTATCATGGTGCAAAAGCCAATTTTTGTCACATCTTCTCGGCCTTCTGAGAACATTTTGTACCACCGATAAACGTTGCTTCGGTCCAAGATAGCTTCTCCGTATRCCACAGTCAACATTCGGAATGCATCCGCGCACTTAATTTCGTTTTTCAAACAAAATTTGATACAGGTTCTTTGATCCTCTTTTTTGAATAGGTAAAAATCGAAGACAGCACGTGCAAGCAAATCAGCAGCTGTCAACAATTAAATGAACATTCAAAATGGCCGAGCTTGTCGGCATAAGTGCGAGACATGAGTACCAACATAACGCCATAAAAAATTCGTAATCCGAATATACGTCACCTGCGAAAATTCRAAATTCGCGATACTTTTTGAACACACCTCGTACATATGTATATACATATATACGAGGGAGCGTCTTAAAGTTTGTAGGTTAGTAATGAACATTAAAACAGCTACATACATATAGGGTTTTTCAATAGGAATGCTACAAAAGTAGACCAAAAGGGAGAGCAAAGGGCGCCACACTTTTTCCGGCTCTTTTGACATTTCTCTTCAGTAAGGTTAGACATTTCATCACGGAAGGATATACGATTCAACAATGAGTCGAAATTATTAAAATTTACTACCAAAATTCTTAATTGGTGGTCTCTCAATTTATGGTTGTCATACCTGTAGTCGTACTGTCAGATCAACAATTGAGCATCTAGTAAAAAAATTAAAAATTTGAATCAACAGGCACAGTCAAAATGTTTCCGTGCCAGTGAGACAAAGAAGTGCCCGTWGTGTCGAGATTATTWYTGCSGCCAKCRCAACAATTGAGGAAGACTCAAATCAGTCYCTCACACRTCGTTCTCAAGCATTGCACATCTCTGTGMCGTCTTTACGACGATCCTTACARGATCAGATTGACGCAAGAACTGAAGCCGCTTRACCACCAGAATCGTCGTATGTTCCTGAATTGGGTTGAGCAATAATTTGAAAATGATYCRGATTTTCATYGAAAYCATCTTCAGCGATGAGGCTCATTTCTGGCTGAATGGCTTCGCAAAATATGCGCAAAATATGTGTTATTGTTCAGGCAGCAATCGAAAAAATACGGTTTGGTGCGGTTTATAGACCGACGATGTCATTGTGCCGTACTTCTTCCGTGATGATTAAAACCAGCATGTTACCTGGAACGAGAATCGCTACGGCTCAATGATAACCGAATATTTTTGGTCCGAATCGGATGACATGGACTTGGACAATATGTAATTCCAACAGRATGGCGCCAAGTTTGGTGAACGTGTTATCTCACGAGGTTACGTCAAGTTTATGGTTTATGTCAACAAGCCACCGACGATTGATGAACTCCAWACGAATATCGAACGTGAAATTGCTTAAATATGGACTAATTTATGCCTGAAAACCGTCGAAAATTGGTTCAGCGTTTGGACTTTGGCCATGCAAAATAAATCGAGTTCATGATGGCATCAAATATAGTATATTTTCGCAGGAATAAACACACATAACAGTTGCTTCTATGAAAATGGTATTGACTCGAATTTCATTCATCTAGAATGGCAAATATTGACGCTCTATGCCAATTTGCAGCGACAAGCTTCAAAAAGTTGCTCTCAACTTATGCTTTAACTGATGCCAGAGCACTGAATGAACTTATGACGCGAACAGTAAAGCATTCTAGAATGTCATGACACCTTATTTCCTAAGTCTGGGTCTACAGGATTCGGTTTTAAAATGTTTTAAATCGTTTTGAACTAACTTTTCTTACTTAATAAGAAAYGGTACTTGATTTCTTTACTCCGCGCATCTCATTTATTTTTCRTTGCTTGAGATTTTACTAACATTTCCTGACTTGGAAAATATATAAACAACTAAATTTTATAATCCCTCACTGAAACACTATAACATGCCCTCGTATAGTTATTAACTTACTACCCGCTGCTTGCAACAAATTGTCTTAATCATACGCAAATAAAAATTCTCCTAGACAAATRACTGTATGCAAACATGTAGATATATAAATTTACGTAATTATAAGAAGAACAAACCTACACACACTCTCTGTCTCTCTCTCTCTCTCTGTCAGATAAAAATCGTTAGCATTAGTAGTAGAATGTGCAACATACCCATCAATGAGCGGCGACTCGCGTAACACATGTTTCGCACGCTGCAACCGATAATCGAAATCATTCGCCAGACGCGTTTGTTCCGGCATCGCCAGCATGAGTGGTAAATATAGGAAAATCAAAAAACTGAAGCCACACAACACRTAACAGCCGTCAAGTAGCTGCTTCAGCAAGTTCATTGCCTTGTATGTTGGAATTTTCGGACCGAGCGAAAGACGCTGCAAGCTCACACGCTCGCTATACACTCTCGACAMACGTCGGCCAACGTCGTCTGTTAAACGGAGCCAACCGGCGTTATACTTCACATGCAATATCTTTTAAAGTGCTTTTGACGTGTCGGCTGACTATTATTTTGACKACTGACTGACTCTTCCGGCCGGCTGACTGATGACTTTCGCTCACCAACTGACACACCAACCGAATAGCTGAGTGCCTTGACTAACAGCTGGCTTGGCTGCTGCTGGATGGCGGCTCACTGACTGCTGCTTACTAGCTTGACTGCTCAGCTTAAGAACTACGTGCGCTTTGTCTTCTAGGTTTGTGTTGTTGTTGTTGGCTGCTCTAAAGTGACTCGCTGTTTTATTGCCACGTTGGAGCGTTGTTGCTCCTCTTATCTCATTGCATTTCCCTTCGACTTTATTTTGTTGTTCCGTTTTTGTTTCCTTCCTTATTTTTGCACAGTTCTCCGAACTGTCATTGTATCTGCAAATAAATAAAATCGTAAGTAAGCATGAAGTCGAGGAGACACAACTTAAGAGTCGAGTAGCGACAAGTACACGATATAAAATGAAATGGCAACATTAAAATGTGAAAAAGGGAATTATCTTTTTGAATGCAGTAGCTAACAACTCGTAGATTTAATTCCTTTCATATATGTATGTACTGATAGCGTTTTGTTGTAAGATATTACTATCAGAGCATTTTGATGCGTATTCATTTGCAGTGAGAAAGAAAAATTTAGACGAAAAACGGAATAATGAAAACAATAAAAGTTGTCTTGAAATGCAACACCCTAAAACTTAAAAAAATAATAAAAGATCATCGCTGAGTGCAAATCTTCTTCAATCTTGAGGAGTAACTGAGTAATATAATCGCCGTGAAAAGCGAGAGCTTAGTGATTTGTTTTCTACTGCTGTTGACGGCATTACAATCTTAAAATTAAATTTGTGCCACAGTTTCCAGTGTGTCTTTAAACACATCAACAACTTAGTACTTTTCAGGTAGACTYAGAACTTCATCGTAGAGCATTACTATGTTAGAACTAGAAATATGGTGAGGAACGAGATAATAATTGCTCTCGAGACAGTCGAAAAAACGAACGCAATATTGAGAAACTGTTGGATCTTCCGGTAGTGTGCTTATTTGCAAGTTTCCTCTGACTGAGAGGAAATGACTAGCTTCTTCTTAATAATAGCGCGTTAGCCGTTTCTTCTCCTTCTYCTTTTCGGTATTTGGCGCCAATTATAAATTACAAGTGTAGCCTGATTCTTCTCCACCTGATCTTTCAAACGGAATGTATTTCTTCATCTTGCTTTGCTTCCATCGCCGTGTACTGCATCGAWAACCTTCAAAGCTGGAGTTCTTTTCCGTCCGGACAGGGRCTAACTCTTGATTCTCTGAACTATGTTAATGYCGCCGTATATCTCATACAGCTCATTGTTTTATCGACTATGGTACTAGCCATTGGCAATGCCGTGACGCAATGGACCATAAATATTCCACAAAACTTTGCTCTCGAACACTTTTAAGGCCGACTTAACAGATGATGTCAGGACGGAAGTGATGAGGTAGCACCTGTTTGGAAGAGTGATTCTGCGTGTGATTTGAAGTGCTGAGAATTTGAAAAACGTTTTCATAATATATGGGTCACATAACCGGAACGAATCCGTATCCGTATAGGAATGGTTACCTCGTTACGCTTTGACACCGAAAAGTTTTTGGTTGAAGTCTTCTGACAACCAACTTGACACGGCATTTTATAACTAACTACCCACTGCAGTTGGCCATGACTGTCAAGTAGCCATACCAAAATAACTTGGGCCTTGAATGATGTATCAAAATGTGGATGACGTTAACCAGAACTCAGAAAAAAGGAACAGAATTCAACACGCTACTAAATAATGTAATGTAATGTAAAATAATTAAATTTATGCTAGGGAATRAGAGATCAGTTCTTCTTGTCTACAGCTCCGAAGATTATTTCTTATTGGAAATAAGTCTCACCTGATGCAATTCTATTATACAGAAAGTGATATATACCAAATATTTTGGACCAATCTGGAAATGAAGGACAAATGTGAAATGTGAGTGGATGAGAGAAAAAGAATAAACGCGAAAGTATAAGAGCTCAAGGCAGAAGTAACGATAATACCTCCCGCATGTAATGATTCCTTCATATGGGATGTGATAGTTTAGGTTAGGTTAGTTATACAAACTGTTTTCGCGTGAAGCCACGAATAATCCCAACTGGACTGCTAGAAACGTTTGTCCGTTCTGATTCTCAGAAGAGCTATATGATGTTCAAAGAAACCGTTGCATATCGACAACGCCTAAAGACAAGTTTTTTGCCGCTAATGCCAATTTCAGCCATTTCGTCGAGTTCGTAAATATTATATATTATAATAATAGTGCAGGAGAAAGTGTTTTGATGTTTCCAACTATTTTTCATAATTGTAACWATGATAACTTGCATGCTACAAAATCTTTAGCCACACTGCTTAAGTACCAATAGGACAGTTTTCAGTTAGGACGCCTATCATGCCAACGTTGTGAGGTTTACTAAGAGCCAGCAGTTTGCGTTCTACTATAACTACTATGAGCCAGAAGACTTATACAACCCACAAGTTCTTATTGCTTACCAACGCTTGCTGAGCACGCGCGAAACCCATGAATCAATAGTCCGAGTGTATGAAGACAGGGGACCACCTGCCACCATCATGCTGATGGAATTTGGGTAGGTAAGCTCATTGACTTAATAATTTCCAACTATTCCTTTGTAGTTAATCACCCAGTCAAGTTTAATATGGATGCTACTGCTAGACGTCTTGCACTCCTTGACGAGTTTTGAGTTCACTGCGACTCCGCCGCACACACATAACTCTTGGATGTATGTGCGGCGGAGAAGAAGGAGTAAGGTGCCGTTCCACAGTAGTCCACATTATCAAATACATATGTAGTCGAAGTGAAAAGCGATTTCAGAATGGCGGATGTGATATATTTACCAGACTTCCTGAACCAATTGTATCAGGTATGCTGAGCAAAAAGTAGTAAGACTTTTAATTTTAATTTTAATTTCCTGTCATAACTCATTCGTCTAAATATTTCTTGTCTAGGTTAGTATAACTATCTGTGCTATCTGCGTCAAATGTCACATCCAAATAATAATTATGATGAGTGAAATTATTCAACAAAAAAGTTCCAATAAAAGTTGTGTACGGAAACAAATTTCTGGTGCCGAAATGTTCAGAATGTTAGCAAAGGCATGCGGTGAATATTATTTGTCCCGAGCAAGTGTTTTTGATTGGTACAAATTATTAAAAGAGGGTTGAGAGCGCGTTGAAGATAACACTGAAGATCAACACCTCAATAAAATAAAGGAATTGGTACTTGAGGAACGCCGATTTAAAGTCAGAGATCTTACAAGCACCATTGGAATATCGAAAGAATAACTGAAAACCATTTTAAAAGATCATTTGAGCCTAAGAAAAGTTAAAACACGATTGGTTCCTAAATCACACAATATTTTCGAAAAACAACGTCGTGTTAACGTCTGTGAAACACTGCTTCCCGTTACCAGGATGTCATGAAATATATTACTACGGGCGATAAGTGTGGGATCTATGCACACAAACGATCAATTGGCCGAACATCATGACAAAGGTGAGCCACAGCCGAAAAAAACTACGACGAAAAATCAAGGTTATGTTGACAGTTTTCTTTGATTATCGAGGTGTGATGCCCTCCGAATTTCTTCCGACCGGTAAAATCGCCAACAAGGAATGCTATTTTAGTGTTTTGCGWCATTTGCAAGAAGTTGTTCGTAAAAAGTGGCCGGAATTTTGGGTYGACAATTCTTGGCTTTTACCTCAACCATCGTATTCAACTAATCTAGCTTCGTGTGACTTGTGGCTATGCAGAAAACTCAAACGACGGCTCAGAGGAAAACGTTTTGAATCAATTGAAGACCTGGGATTGTTAGACGAGGAATGCACCACGACTTGAGGTCTATTTTGCCTATAATTGAAGACCTTAAACGTGAATCGCTATGCCCATTACAGACTGTTCTGGCAAGTGAATTTAAGCACTGTTTCGTAGGTCGGCAACAATGAAGGCACCAARTGTATTACGGCCAAGGGGGACAACTTTGAGAGAAACGCCTATTAGAATCCATAGCGAGTGGTTGTATAGTACAATTATTCCTGCAAGTGCYCTGAACACCGGTAGTTCGCAAAAGTTTTATTATTGAGTCGGGACAACAAGCTCTAACTCTGAACATTTGTACGTTTTCAATGAGTTGGGCCTCTTTACTCACTTAGCCGCTATATTTGTGAAGTTTCTATCCATTGATTGCACATCTCCATAAAGGAAGAGAGAATTCCACGACACAATTTTCATAAAGACAGCTTTCACTATTTCACAAAAACTTCTGCAAGATTTCTTGCAATCAAATATGTATGCGTTAATGCTCAGCATTTATTWAATTTCTCCATTGCTCTACCTAACCTAACTTTCGCTACACAACTTTGCTGCAAAATTACTTTTCCAGAACTTTCATTTTTGTTGCTCATCTAAATTAAACACACTTTTTGCTGCGCAATCGCCTCAGTAAATATTTACACGCACACAAGCTTATTTGGTAGCAAACACAAAAATATGCCACTCKCTGTTAGCTGTTGTTTTTGTATTCTCTCGATGCATGCGAATAAACTATTCCAGCGATGAACYGCATATCCTTTAACAGCACATACGCGGATAGAAAGGCATACGTCTGTATGTTTGTAGTCAAATGTATCAAATGGCCTTAAACAAATGCGCGCTGAMAGTCTGCATGTGACACGCACACACACACACACACACATGTGCGCTAACGATGGCAACTAGCGCACTGCAGCAACTGCCACAGACAGTGTCATATCACAGCGCGTTGCCTGTCTCAGCGCTCAGCAGTCAACAGCTGACTGGCTGCCGCGTGCAAACTGGACGTGGATGCGGGAGGTAGAGGGTGTTGGGAGGAGTTGGAAAGAGGTGTACGWAAACTGCCGACTGAGCTGACTGTGCTAGAAGCTTGAGTACCAAAAAAGCCAGTTGCTCGCTGCCTGGACGCGCCGCCGCCGCCACTGTGCACTCGATTGCATTTGAGATTTCAAATTACAAGCAACGAATTTGCGAAAGTATGTAGCGGGAAGATATAGGTATGTACGCAAACACATATATGTATATATGGTAGATAATATTATATATAAATATACATGAATGTGCTTTCATTTGTGTGTTTGTATGTTTGAGAACGCCGGCATATTTACTTGACAGCAATTTACACATTTGACATACACACAACTCCCTATATAAGTATAATAAAGTATATATGTATGCGTGTGTATAAATTCATATAAAATGTCTTTCGCCAACGATAAGCGTAATAGATTGGGGTGAAGTGCAACAAATGGGTGGCACGATAGATGGTGGTTACCAAAAATGTGCGA